TGAATGACACCCAAGTTTCAGCTTCCTCATAGACAGAATGATGTTTTCTTCTAGGATTTCCTGATACTTTAATGAATCCATCTTGCCTTCCACAAGCTGCAGGTTTCCAGTGTCAGAGGATGCAAAGCATTCTCAGAGCATCATAAAGCCACCATAATGCAACTGTAGGCTTTTCAGCATATGCTTCATTCTTCTTTCTCCAGACATACCGCTGATCCATTGGGCCAAAGAGTTTCAGTTTTGTTCATCACTCCAAGGAACAGAATCCCAAAACGTCTGTGGCTTATTTATATGATATTGAGCATATTGGAACCAAATCTTTTGTGCTTTTGGGTCAATAGTGGTATGTCTTGGCACTATGGCATGTTTAGTGTGGCAAACCCTGCCACTTGGACTAATTATCCTATGTGAATGGGTGAAACCAAGGGAATAACCACACGAATTGACTTTCATGTTATTGTACTGTTTTTATGTGAATGCCCGAAACTACCGAACGGGAGACCACCCCGGGGTGGTCGTGTGTTTCCAATTAGCTGAGTGATACATTGTTGCGAAGGGAATTAACTACCTGTATGTGTGGCCGCCATTTCGCCTACCGAACATGTGGCGGCGGCCATCTTACGCACGAACAGCGGTACTTGGTTGTCGAACGCCTGGAACTCAAACCGGGCATTCGACTAACCAAGCACCGCTAAGACCTCCAGCATGCTCCGACAGTACGAATCTAACACACGAACGCCCCGGCGTTCGATAGATAGATTCCCCTAAACGAGGGGAATCATATGAATGGTAGCAATCGCATGGATGGCCAAGCTGTTCGGTATCGGTGATTCACTAAAATAGACCGACCGCAGGGCCAGAATTCATGGAATTGTTCAAATCTTTAAAATCTTTAACGGTCTGTAACTCCCGAACCCCTGCTCCGATCTGGGTGAATTTCAAGTATGTTGCTCACCCAGATCAGACCTACCAGGGGACCCCTTATTTGTCCCTGTACCCCCTGTATTTAGGGGACATCCAGAAAGTGGGGAAAACTCTGTCCCCTCTAATCTGGTTAAGTGCTAATCTAAGGGGAGGAAAGGGAGGGGAGGTGACCGGGTTACAATTGGTTACTGTACTAATTATGAAAGTTACCTCCCTTGCATGGGAGAAATGCATAAAAGCAGACCTGTGAATAAAGCTGACAGTTGACTCCCAGACTATGTGTTGTCTAGTCCTTGGGGAGGTGGATTATGCTGTGTTCCTGTGATTTTGTATGCTGAATCTTTGTTCCCAGCGGAGAGCCATTGGATTAACCCCTGCTCCTCCGCTACAATTGGTGGCAAGCGACGGGATTCAAACCTCACAGCAGACCGTTGTTCGGCAGTTACAGCCATTCGTGGAAATTTGCTATTCATATGGAACCGAAGGGAAAGGGTATGTGAATATACCCGAACGGATAGTGAATGGGGACAGATTATACCAGCTTGAAACGGGCCACGCTAAAAGAGCTATTGGAAGCAAGGGGAATTATTGCCAGCAATAAAGCCAAAGCTACCCTTATTGCTGAACTCATGGAGGGAGACGGGGCAGCTGCTGCAGCACCTCTTATGGACAGCACACAGAATAAGTTTGGAAGAGAACTCCAAAGCAGACTGCCCTTTTTCCCAGATACACTTCCCAGAGAAACCTTGGAAAGGATTATGGCAGATGTTCACGAATACCTAATGGCAAAGCAGCAGGCAGACCGGAGGTCCAGAGAAGGGTTCCCAACCCCACCACGCATAGTACAAGGGAAGCCTAAAATTCTGTACCATGCTTTTAAAAATTATGTGGAAACCGAGGACATTGATGGCTACCTGCATGACTTTGAGAGGTTATGCCAACTACATGAGATTGACGCTGCTGACCATGTACCCCTGCTGGTGGGCAGAAGCCTACCGCACCATGCCAGACGAGGACAGCAGGGACTACCAGAAAGTAAAACAGGCAATCTTGACCAGGTATGCCATCACCCCAGAGGCATACCGGCAGCGGTTCAGAGAAAACTGAAAGACGGAGAGAGACAACCACATGGAGTGGGCACACCGCTTAACTAGGGCGGGCAAAGGATGGGTGCAAGCCGCACAAGCGACCACAGTGGAGGATATGCTACAGTTACTGCTACTGGAGCAATTCTTCCAGGGGTTAACCCCGGATCTACAAACTGGCTGAGGGACCGGAAACCACGCACCTTAACCGACGCAGCCAGGTTGGCGGACGAGTACCAAGATGCCAGAAGGGCACAGCGGGCACAGTCACGGCCCACCTCGGGAGCTGCTACCACACCTCCCACTATTACCCCCACCCCATCGCTGCGTCCTGGTGGTGGGAACTACCAAACCCCTCCACGGTACCACAACGCCCGATCTTTCATCAGGTGCCACAGGTGTAACCAGCAAGGCCACATGCAGAGAGACTGTCCCAGGAACAAAAACCGCTCCACGTGGAATACCCCAACCAATTCCCCTGCAAACCGGGCAGCGGTACACTGCTACCAGAGTGAGCCCCGACAACCTCACTATTGGGCCGGGTCCAATGAAGAACCTTTGGGCACGCTCCATGAGGTTAACCCAATACAAGCGGCTGCAGACAACCGACAGGGACACCGCCAAGGGGTGCACGTAGAGGGAAAATGCCTCCAGGGTCTGCGCGACTCTGGGGCCACCATAACTCTGGTGTGCAATCACCTAGTTCCAAAGAACCAGCTCACTGGAGAATATGTGGCAGTCCAGGTGGCAGGGGGAGCTATTTACAAAATTCCTACTGCCAAGGTACATTTGGATTGGGGAGCGGGGTCAGGGAATGTGGAAGTGGGCCTCATGCAGGATTTACCCACTGATGTCATCCTGGGTAACGACTTGGGGGAGCTGACCTCCGCTTTTGTTTCTCAGCACCCCGCGCAGAAAGTGCTACCCGTTGTAACACGGGAGCAGGCTCGCACTACCGCATCTTCTGAACACTCTGAGGCTCAGGTAAGCAACAGTCCTACACCCCCTTTCGTCCCCTGGGCTCCCCCCTTAGAATTTGGTACTGAAGTAGTCACCGACCCGTCCTTGCAGGTATCCCGGGATAGGGTTACGCAGAATCAGGCGGGGTTGGAGGGGGAGAGATATGCTTGGGAGAAAGGATTATTGTATAGGTACGCAGAGAAGGTAGTAGCAGGATCTGTACCCATGACCCTCACACAATTAGTAGTGCCCAAAAAGTACAGGCAAGAGTTGTTACGCATTGCCCACGACATCCCTTTGTCAGGACACCTAGGCGTCAGTAGGACGAAATATCGTTTGACCCAAAACTTCTTTTGGCCAGGGGTGTCCAAAGATATCCGGCAGTATTGCCAAACTTGCAATATGTGCCAGAGAGTAAGGAAGAGAGGGGACCGATACAAGGCAAAAATGCACTCCCTTCCCATAATAGATGAGCCCTTTAGTAGGGTGGCAGTTAATATAATTGGAACCCTAGCAAAACCCAGTCCGTCCGGGAAAAAGTATATCCTAACAGTAGTAGACTATGCTACCCGGTACCCAGAGGCAGTGGCCCTAACTAATATCCATGCCGAAACTATAGTGGATGCCCTGATCCGGATATTCTCCAGAATGGGGTTCCCTAAGGAGATTATCTCGGATCGGGGTACCCAATTCACGGCCGAAGTCACTCACCAGTTATGGAGAACATGTGGGGTGAAACCTATTGTAAATTCAGCGTACCACCCCCAGTCCAATGAGCTCTGTGAATGTTTCAATGGAACATTGAAGCAAATGCTCCGTACGTTCATGGATACCCAGAAGGACTGGGAGAGGTTTCTTCCCCATCTGCTCTTTGCTTACCGAGAGGTACCTCAGGAGTCCACAGGATTCTCACCCTTCAAATTACTATTTGGAAGGAGAGTGCGGGGTCCTTTGGACCTCATTAGGGAACACTGGGAAGGAACTGTCACCTGTAACGGTACCCCTATCGTCCCATATGTGCTAGAATTCAGAGAGCGCTTGGAGACCCTAATCCAGACGGTACGGTCCAATCTCCAGGCAGCCCAGCAACGACAGCGCAGATGGTACGATAGGGGAGCCAGGGACCGCAGTTTTCAAATAGGGCAAAAGGTGCTAATCTTGAAGCCGGTCCAAAATAACAAACTGCAGGCCTCATGGCAGGGCCCTTATAAAGTGGTTGAACAGGTATGTTAACATGTTGAAACCGTATCACGAGCGGACTGAGGAAGTAACTGCCATATGTGCTTTGGCTGCCGAGGACCCAGACAACTTACCGCTACCGGACCTATTAGAAAAAGGGGGGCCTGACACAGAATTAGGGGAAGTACAGCTAGGAGACAGAATGAGTACTAGAGAGCGAGCTCAAATACTAGAGCTGATCAGAGAGAAAGGGGATAACTTTTCCAATCAGCCCGGATATACCCCGCTGGCTACCCACAGGGTGGAAACCCCAGGGCAACACCCTCTTCGGCAAACCCCCTATCTGTAAAAGATCATATGTGGAAGGAGATTGACGAAATGCTGCAGCTAGGAGTGATAGAACACTCAGATAGCCCATGGGCCTCTCCGGTAGTGCTGGTGCCGAAGCGGGACGGAACCACCCGCTTCTGCGTCGACTACTGGAAACTTAACGATAAAACGATTTCTGATGCCTACCCTATGCCTCGAATCGATGAGCTCCTAGATAAAATGGCCCGGGGCCAGTACCTCACCACAATAGACTTGTGCAAAGGATACTGGCAGATCCCACTAGCCGAGGATGCCATCTCAAAGTCCGCATTCGTCATCCCGTTTGGGCTATACCAATTTAAGGTGATGCCATTCGGGATGAAGAATGCGCCGGCTACCTTTCAGCGGATGGTAGATCGGCTACTGAACGGATCCCAGGAGTACGCTTGCGCCTATTTGGATGATATAGCGATCTTTAGCACCTCCTGGGACGAGCATTTAACTAATATAGGAGCCATCCTCGACCGCATTAGGGAGGCAGGTCTCACGTTAAAACCCAGCAAGTGCCATGTAGGGATGGCTGAAGTGCAGTACTTGGGCCACAGGGTAGGCAGTGGGCAGCAAAACCAGAACCTGCTAAGATAGAAGCCGTAGCTAAGTAGCCGACCCCTCGCACGAAAACCCAGGTTTTAGCTTTTTTAGGGGCCGCCGGTTATTACCGTAAATTTGTGCCCAATTATAGTGCCCTAGCAAAGCCCCTTACTGACCTCACCAAGAAGAACCTGCCCAAAGTAGTGACCTGGAGCCCAGAGTGTGAGAAGGCATTCCAAGAACTGAAAACTGCCCTAATTCATGCACCTGTACTTGCCGCTCCAGATCCAACTAAACGCTTTCTCGTTCATACAGACGCTTCTATGTTTGGATTGGGAGCAGTGCTGAGCCAGGTCGGGGCCGATGGCGGCGAACATCCTGTCGCTTACTTAAGTCGGAAACTGCTACCCAGGGAAGTAAGCTATGCTGCCATCGAGAAGGAATGCCTGGCGGTAGTGTGGGCCCTCAAGAAACTACAGCCCTACTTATATGGACAACAATTTGCCTTGCTCACAGATCACAACCCGTTGGTGTGGCTAAACCGGGTGTCCGGGGACAATGCTAGACTGCTGAGATGGAGCTTGGCGCTGCAGCCCTTTGATTTCACCATCCAGTATCGCCCGGGGAAACAAACTTGTGGCGAAACCGACCTCGCCACTGGGCATTGGAGAAGACTGATTGCCAGCCTCCTGCCATGTGACTATGGCCCCTGGGATGTATTGCCCTTTAAAGACATGATTTGGGCATAATGGATTTGTGTTGTGCTGCTGCTGGCCCTTTTGGGAACCATCTGGGGACATACTGTGGAGTTACTGGGTGGCCACCATTTCCTGTATCCAGGGCCGGATTAAGAGCACAGTGGGCCTGGTGCTGACAATTATGATGGGCCTATATACTGTAACTAAACCCCCATTATATTTTTTTGCCTAGATTAGGTGTTTTTAATAAAACTGAAAATTGTTCAGCATTAAAATGACTGTTTAGTAGATAAGCGAGTGCGCTGGATTTTCATTTTCACTGTACTTATTGGCCCCCAGCAGCACCCTAATTTAGCATGTGTAGGTGAGTGCAGCCAAACCCTTATTTTCTCATATATGTATATATTTAGGAGTCTAGCCAGCTCCATGGGTTTTGCACCCCTCCCTGTTACAGGTGCCTCATCTCAGGATCCTATTTAAGCATTGTACTGCAGAGACCTCGAGATGGAAGGATTTCCCCAAGTGAGAAGCTCATTTAGCAGACAGAGTAGGACCTGCCAAAGATGGGGTACATTGGCGTTGTGGCAGGCTTATGCAATGTATGATCATATACTGTAACTAAACCCCCATTATATTTTTTTGCCTAGATTAGGTGTTTTTAATAAAACTGAAAATTGTTCAGCATTAAAATGACTGTTTAGTAGATAAGCGAGTGCGCTGGATTTTCATTTTTCACTGTACTTATTGGCCCCCAGCAGCACCCTAATTTAGCATGTGTAGGTGAGTGCAGCCAAACCCTTATTTTCTCATATATGTATATATTTAGGAGTCTAGCCAGCTCCATGGGTTTTGCACCCCTCCCTGTTACAGGTGCCTCATCTCAGGATCCTATTTAAGCATTGTACTGCAGAGACCTCGAGATGGAAGGATTTCCCCAAGTGAGAAGCTCATTTAGCAGACAGAGTAGGACCTGCCAAAGATGGGGTACATTGACGTTGTGGCAGGCTTATGCAATGTATGATCATATACTGTAACTAAACCCCCATTATATTTTTTTGCCTAGATTAGGTGTTTTTAATAAAACTGAAAATTGTTCAGCATTAAAATGACTGTTTAGTAGATAAGCGAGTGCGCTGGATTTTCATTTTCAATGCAGCTATAAGAAAACACATACTCTATGCTAATTTCTCTCTAATTTATGCTTTCATCTTTCAAGTAAATCCAAAACCCCTAACAGCAGTGTCCAGTGAAGCAGGAAGTCAATGGGCAGGGTAAAAGGTGTGCCACTGGCGCGAATCATGTGACAAGACTAGCCAAAAGGAGTGAACATGCCCAAAAAGGGGCATGTTTGTCCAAAGAATTGGTAGGTCAGCCTGGCATGAATGCATGTCAGGCTGCCCGCCAATCATGCAGGCTGTCCAACTAAGGGCATACTATGCAGGCAGCACCTTGAGCTTGACATAAATGCGTCTAATGATGCGCTCACTCCATTCTTTCTAAGGACTGTCCCCTAGCACTCGCTGGTCCACTTGTCTCCTTACTTTCTTACTAGCAGGCAGAAGTTCCTGGTATATAGTTTGAGACAGAGAAAAGGTGTCTGTAGTGAGTGAAGAAGAAAGGGGACATGCCGCAATGTTAGAGAGACCAACGTGTGCATTACCTAAACTAGCAGGTGCACACAAGTTTTGTTCCCATACATCCCTCTTAAGCTTTCAAACTTAAAGGGACACTATAGTCACCAGAACAACTACAGCTTAATGTATTTGTTCTGGTAAGTAGAATCATTCCATTCAGGCTTTTTGCAGTAAACACTGTATTTTCAGAGAAAATAACTCCACTAGCCACTCCTTAGATGGCTGCTAGAGGTGCGTCCTGGGGCAGTACTGTCTAGTGTGCAGCACTGCCATTTAGTGTCTCCACCCTCTGCATGCAGACACTGAACTTTCCTCATAGAGATGCATTGATTCAATTTATCTTTATGAGGAGATGCTGATTGGCCAGGGCTATGTTGGACTTGTGCTGGCTCTGCCCCTGATCTGCCTATTTGACAGTCTCAGCCAATCCTATGGGGAAGTATTGTAATTTGCCCAGACCACCACTTCTGAGCCAGCAGCTGCAGAATTGAATACAAGTAATATTTTACTATATTTATGGAGGCAAGAGGGGGCCAGGGTGGTGGTTTTAACATAATAGGGTCAGAAATACATGATTGTGTTCCTGACCCTATAGTGCTCCTTTAAGCAAGAGTATGTGAAGAGTAGTTAAGGTTGCCACCTTTCTTGGAAAAAAATACCAGCCATAATCATTTGTATAATTAATTAGTTATGCGTGACATCACATGATGTAAATCAAAGGAGTGACATCAGAGAAAATTCTGTAAAATCACCAACAAACTACTCACTGTTTGATTCTGCTGTATAGATGGATTGCTCCCAGTGTCTCCGTGTCTCAGTCTCGCAAGTCACCCAGTGTCTCAGTGTCCCTATGTATCAGTGTCCCCATGTCGCCCAGTCCCCTAGTCACCCAGTGTCTGTGTCCCCATTTCTCCCAGTGTCCCAATGTCTCAGTGTGTCCCCATGTCACTAGGATACTGGGGACACTGAGAGACCCAGGGACACTAAGACCCGGGGACACTGAGACATTTAGGGAAACTGGGAGAAATGGGGACACTGAGACACTAGGGACACAGACACTGGGAGACATGGGGACACTGAAACATTTGGGGACACTAAGACACTAGGGACACAGACACTGGGAGACTATGGGACACTGGCTGGGAGACAGACACTTGGGGACACTGGGAGACATGGGGACAGTTGTGGAGTTAGACATGTGGACACTGGGACATATAGGGACACTGGGAGACATGGGGACACCAGGCACACTGAGACACTAGGAACACAGACACTGGTAGACTTGGAGACACTGAAACATTTGGGGACACTAAGACACGAGGGACACAGACACTGGGAAACTAGGGGACACTGGCTGGGAGACAGACACTTGGGGAGACATGGGGACAGTTGTGGACATAGACATGGGGACACTGGGACACATGGCACACTGAGAGACATGGGACACAGACACTGGGAGACTTGGGGACACTGAGACACTAGGGACACTGGCTGGGGGACATAGTGTCTACGTGTCCCAATGTCTCCCAATGTCCCCATGTGTCTCAGCATCCCCATGTGTCCCAGTGTCCCCTAGTGTCTCAGTGTCCCCATGTTTTCCAGTGTCCCCAAGTGTCTCAGTGTCCCCAGGTCTCCCAGTGTCTGTGTCCCCATGTGTCCTAGTGCCTCAGTGTCCCCTAGTGACAGTGTCCCCATGTGTCCCCTAGTGTCTGTGTCCCCATATGTCCCCAAGTGTCTCAGTGTCCCCATGTTTTCCAGTGTCCCCAAGTGTCTCAGTGTTCCCAGGTCTCCCAGTGTCTGTGTCCTAGTGTCTCAGTGTCCCCTAGTGTATGTGTCATCATGTGTCCCCTAGTGTCTGTGTCCCCTAGTGTCTCAGTGTCCCCTAGTGTCTCAGTGTCCCCTAGTGCCCTGCTGCCTTTCCCCCCAGCCCTCACTTACCTGAGCTGTAGAGCTGCTGTCTGGACTCTGTGCTGTGTAGCTGCTCCCCCACGGATCAGTGAGTAGTAGAGAGAGGCAGGGATATTCTGTAACTTCCTATCCCTGCCACTCTCCACACAGAGTGACCCCTACTGGCCGGTGCTGGTATTGCAGAGTAATTTCCAATTATTCTGAGAAAATGACCTGCATTTGTATTGCCGGTATTACTGCAATACCGGCATGGCCAGGCAGCCTCAAATACCGTCTGTGCCATTAAAATACGAGTCAGGTGGCAAACCTGAGTAGTGTGTAAAAAAAATATTTATTTTTTTTTTTTTTTTTTTTTTAAATGGGCCTATTCCATGGGCCTGGGCCTGGAGCTGCAGCTCCATCAGCCCCTATGTTAATCCGGCCCCCTGTATCAGAAGCACATGGTGAGAACAATGGATGGCGGCCATTTTAACTCACAGACACTGTGTGGACTTTTCAACACGGTGCCATCTCGCCAGTATTTGTTGCACAGAGACATCGTGCGGTGGTTTTGGACTATACAGCAGGGGACACATTATACAGTGATTGTTTTTTATTTAGCCTGTATATGTTCTGCAGAATCTGCATTAAACTGTATTTTCCAAAGTACTGAACGGATCTGGGTGAATTTTGGATATGTGGTTCACCCAGATCCCCCAGTTCCAAGGATATACTTTTTATGGGGTTATTGCATGTTTTGGGGTCCCTGTGATGTGTTTTATGAAACTGTATTTCTCTGGCTGTGATAATTAGATTACCCATTGTGTTCAGTAATCATATCACAGCCAGAGGGGAGGATTTTGTGTGGGAGTGTCTGGGTGTATTGTATGGATTGATTGGCTGTTTTGTAACGCCCTGTGGGCTGTACTATGTTTGTGGATTGGGAATAAAAGAGACTGT